ATAAATAAAAGGACAATAGATATATTCAGTAGATACTTTACGCAATAATTAATAATATTACAATTAATGATAACTCTTTCACAGGTTTCTGATAAAATCCTTGTTAACCTAATGATCCTATCTGACAAATGACAGTATCAAATTAGGTACATAATAAGAGAATTTTATTCAAGGAAACTTATAAGCATTTTTGAATAAGCATTTATTATTATAATATATATTAAAGAACTATATAATACTAATAACAATTACGATATGAATAGATACACAACAATACTTAAATAATGAATAATAATAATACAGAAAATACGTACCTATCGTGATACAATTTCAATGACTGGATAATATTGTAACAGATTCTTAGACTATTTCTAAAGTGAAAAAAGTGTCCTCCTCTCTCCTACTTGCTGTGCCCAACAGGGTCCATAATTGAAGTTGAAATGTTATATACTAATTATATTATGGAATGCAATAAGAAATAAATAAATAAATATTAATCAACCGTACAGTATGGAATGTAATAGAGCGTATTCAAAGAAATTAGTTTTAATTGGATAATATTGTAACAGATTCTTAGACTATTTCTAAAGTGAAAAAAGTGTCCTCCTCTCTCCTACTTGCTGTGCCCAACAGGGTCCATAATTGAAGTTGAAATGTTATATACTAATTATATTATGGAATGCAATAAGAAATAAATAAATAAATATTAATCAACCGTACAGTATGGAATGTAATAGAGCGTATTCAAAGAAATTAGTTTTAATTGGATAATATTGTAACAGATTCTTAGACTATTTCTAAAGTGAAAAAAGTGTCCTCCTCTCTCCTACTTGCTGTGCCCAACAGGGTCCATAATTGAAGTTGAAATGTTATATACTAATTATATTATGGAATGCAATAAGAAATAAATAAATAAATATCAATCAACCGTACAGTACGGAATGTAATAGAGCGTATTCAAAGAAATTAGTTTTAATATTTAAACAGTCAGTGATGTTTCTTGTGAAATGCACCGTAATATATTATTTTAAAAATAGAACTTAGAATTTTTTCAAAAATACTTATAACTCGACATCATCATATCAGCCTTTAACCGTCCACTGCTGTATATAAGTCTCCCCCTTGGGGAGTTTTGCCAGTAGTTGGCACGCTTGGCAGGTGTATTGGCTTTAGAGATGTTTTAAAAGCGACGCTGCTGACAAATTCTCGCTCTCCCTCTTACGACACCCACGGGAAAGGAAGAGGTGGCCTATTCTATACCGGGACCACACGGCTAACCTATAGCTATCTTTTGATCCCACTCAAACAATATATTATTAGTAGCGACATATTTTTTTAATTTTTACATAAAAAATATGTCGTATAAATAAAAAAAAGAAGGTACTTAATTCGGTTATGTTTGTTTTTAATGTTTAATTATCTCATAACTTATAAATTTTTCAGCCTTATAACTTAGTTGTAAACCAGTTTGTGAAATTCTTTTTTTGTCTGAAAGGATATCCTTACAGATTGGTTCCATAGCAAAGTTAATAAATGTAATCCCTAATTATAGTTTATGTGGAATACAATTATTTAATAATAATAATAATAATAATAAACATAAGCATACATACACAAGCACAACCTTCCATACAAACATACATACAGCACTTACTTGGTCACGTACCCATAAGTGTAGTATAATTACCAAAGCTAAAAGCTGAGAAATAAACAATTCAATGACAATAATAATAATAAATCTTTATTTTCAGGTATATACCCGTAGTTTACAGTTACATTATTAATTATACAAACTATTATTATTATTTTTAAAATACACATTAATTACAAAATACAAATTTAAATTATTTCATTACAAAATCTTTTGTCGTCAGGTACGCAGTGAGGAATACAGTCTTTACAATATGTCGTATGTAGTATATATTACTTATTGTCATTAATATTTCATGAAATTTTGCTTTACATTTACGTAAAATAGCAAAATAGTAAAACAGTTATATAACTTTTAACAGAAATGCATTTAGGCTTTTAGAAATGTTTTAAGAGGTCGGTGGTCTCATATATGCTATATTATATTATATTATACCAGAGGGAGACTTTGTACAAAAGTCGATTGCTTGGGTAACTCTGTCCCATTCGTGTTTCAACCGTGAAGCAGTTGTGTTTGCATGGCTGTGTTTCGGTTTGAAGGGTGAGATATGGCGTGAATTTACTGTGTACAGAGGAATAACACCTGTGTCCTCAGGAATGACAACGCATGGGACGTATCATGGGCGTAACAGTATACTCTGTTATGTCCATGGTACTGCTCATGTCTATAGGCGATGGTTACCACTTTTCATCAGGTGGGCCGTCAGCTTGTTTGCCATTCTAAGTTGTATAAAAAAAAAATTAAATCCATGTCCTGTATATTTGACAATACTTTTAATTATTGTAGGTAATTATGTCTACAAATGATAATGAAAACGAACAAGTTAGGTATATAATTATTTCGGTGCATCTGTAGGGTATCTGTCGCGAATAAACATCACAATGATGTAACTAGCACGCCGGCCGATGCCTCACATCTTGACTTGTAACCTTTTTGTTTCAATATGATAGCGCTGGTGATCTTACATGACTATAAAATTACGAATGCCTACATGTAAAAGTACCTATTTTGTATTACAATAACATATATAACAAATTGACTACACAAAAACATTTAGATAGTTCATTTAGATCAGTGATGGGCAAAGGATGGCCCGCGGCCCAAATCTGGCTCGCGAAAGAATTTAGTCCGGCCCGCCGAAGGTCCATCGACAGGGATAGTATATGGCCCACTATAATTACGTTTTGACAGTCGAAAAGTATAAAGTATATTCCATTAAGTAGAATAATAGATGTATAACCTATAGGTGAAGCCAAACTAGTTCTGCAGTTTGAAAATATTATGGAAAATCAAAAACAATTCCATATTTTCTCATACGCCATAGCAGGGCCTTCGAATAAATGTTAAATTATTAATAAGGGTAAAAGATAATTTGTAACATTTGTATGTAATGCTGTAGTTTTTTATAATATTATGATTAAAAGCTTTAACACAAAATGCATTTTTTCTATAATGCAATCTGACCCTTCACGTGAATTTCATAAACTTTGTGGCCCCTCATTAAAAAATTTTCCTACCACTGATCTAGACAGATTTTAGACGGAGTTAATGCCTATTGAATCTTTTACTAATATTTTTTCCTTAATGTAACATTAAAAATACTGGTCACATAGCTCGAACAACCGACAACCGATGAGGACAAAAGGTTCTTGAGTGACGACTCCATACGGGCAAATGCAGTGTACGTAAGTGTAGGATGACATTTCATTAGATGGATTGACGACCTCAAATGCATAGCAGGGAGTTCCTAAATGCAGGTGGCTCAGGACCGTTCCTTATGATAGTCTATGGGAGGTCTGTGTTCAGCAGTGCACAGATAATAACTGAGATGGTGATGACGATGATGAAAATTATAAAAGTGAAAGTATGTTTGTTTGTTAGTTACTTCTTGGCTTCTCAACTGCTTAATCTATCATTATATGATCCATAGTTTGCATCTATATGTTTAATAATTTATCTATTTATTTGTATGTTTATTAAATCCAAAATATAGATAACAATACATAATACATAAGGTTTTTTTAATGGGTGATAATGGAATGATAAACTCTGCCTGCGCTATCAATATTCACTGGCGGGGCACCAGTGAGAGATGATAGGTGAACATGAAAACAGGTCAGTTGGCCCATAATGATTATTTAATAAGTAATTAACCAAGATGATTTCCAGGAGGAACCGTGGGGTATATTGCTAGCAATGGGACCGCTAGGACCCAGGATGGAAGGATGAATTAATAAAGAATTAACTAAGACGGTTTCCAGGAGGAACCGTGGGGTATATTGCTAGCAATGGAATCGCTAGGATCCAGGATGGAAGGATGAATTAATAAAGAATTAACTAAGACGGTTTCCAGGGGGAACCGTGGGGTATATTGCTAGCAATGGAACCGCTAGGACCCAGGATGGAAGGATGAATAAATAAACAATTAACTAAGACAGTTTCCAGGGGGAACTGTGGGCTATATTGCTAGAAATAGAGTCGTTAGGACCCATTACTTGTAATCCCTTTCCCCCCATATACATAAATATATAACATATCGTGTCTTACTAATAACAATTAAATAAGTACTTACATTAAGTATGATTTATAAGTTTTATCGCTTCAAGAAAGTAATAACGACCTGAATATCTAAGTACAAATAAGCACGTGTAACATATAAACTAATTAAGTAAAATTACCTATCGATGCCTATGATTATTTATATGCATAATTATATTTAATAATAAAATAAAAAGTAATTTAAAAAACGAGAATTATAGTTTAGTTCTTAATTAATATAAAAATCAGTCAGATGCGAGTTGAACTCTCATGCCGAGGGTTCTGTACATATATATATTGTGTTAACCTAGAATGGCAAACAATGGCAAAAGCAATATGACATAAAATGAACTTTATTACATTTCTAATACGAAATATACACCTAATAGTTGTTATTATTGATACTACAATTGATAATTTCTTAATTTGAACCATAATTGTGATAAAAAAACTGGAACGCATTACTAAGTTTATTTTTAGAGGTATTTTGATAATTTCTCACATTTTATTTACATAATTTCCAAATCTTTTGTACCTACCCGTTTTGAATACACCCTGATAAAAAGAACAAAAATATTTTCTGAATCATTTTCATTGAAATATGTGCAGGCCAATGATATGTAAAATTATATCAAATTTCAAATTAATAGCATTAGTAGTTGCTGAAATATAACCTTATAACGGACGGACAATGTCGCACCATGAGGGTTCCTTTGTACCTTTTTGGCGTAGAACCCTAAAAATTAGCAGTAGGTAAACGCGATACATACAAACTTATCAAACTGTGGTAGGTTTCCAAGACTATGTACTCATTGTATCAGGATATCTATCAATGTGTGATGTCACAGCCTCATTAGTATAATTAACGAGAAACACTGATAAAATGGTGATGCTTGACAGACAAACATTCAAAATCATTACGGTCGCCTTAGACTCGATGTCTACAAAGTGTTATAGTAATTAAATAAATAAAAAATATATCTATTCTCTTGATTATCTAATCTGACACGCGAATATTTCGTTAACATATATTTTTTTTATTTCCTTATTTAAAATTGTGGCAGTGTTATAAATATTTGCAGGTAGTGGTCCCTTAATTTTTTTGTCGGACGCGCGGTTCACATCCATTCCAGTTATCGAGAACTTGGTACTAACGTAATATTAAATATAACGGACAAACAAACAATTACACGTTACAGATTAAGCATGACGCGTATTGTTTTTAAAATTGTACACTATCATGAACGAAAGCATTTATTTAATTTATTAAATAGTTTTAAACGACGATTTATCATTTCGTTTTATAATTTTTTTTACACTTATAAAATGTCATAGATTTTTATGTACAAGTCTGTATTTTTTTTAACTCAAATATACCTACACAATATGAAATAAAAAAGTACAATTAAAACTTAATACAACGATCGAATAAAACACTCTATAAAAATTTACTGCTGCGACTAACACACAACGCAACGTATCTACTCTTTTACGTCAATAAAGGAGACGAAACATTACAATTCGTAGCGGTCAATCAATAGATACATTCAAAAATAAATGTACAAAGTAATTTCATTATTGAAAACGCACATTTTAGTTAATAATGCAACATAAATAAAAAAAACTACAGCGCACTCACCTGTCACTGTGCTCTTGTACTCGTAGCTGGTCAGTGATCTTGGCTGGAATGCAATGGGTGAAATTCACAGCTTGCACTACCTAACCATACGTTTAATTCCAATTCTACACCGTTTAGCGTGGCGTCTCACAGTGCGTGTTTATTGTTTTCGTGTCGGCTTCAAACTGATAGTAGAAACAGTGTATTTTTCCACAAGACGACACTATTACTTTTGTATCGATGCGATTGAGAAAATCAGACGAAAGTTTGCATAGCCATGTGGCCCGCTCGACATTATAGTCATGTTGAGCTACTTATACGTATGTAGAGATGCATTCGTACGTTTTCATACGCTCTGATAGTGTGATCCGCGTTGTGTAATCACGATGTGTGCGATTGAAATAAAATAAAATATGTTGCCAAGTGACTTCTCTCAATTTATGTTCTGTTAACACGATATTCGTTTCGTTCGTTTAGTATAAAACATCTGTTTAAAGATAAATAAGTACAAATAAAAATTATGATTTAATAATTCATACTAGGTACAAGTATCTTAAGACAATGGGTTCTACCAACCATCAGTATCATCCTTAGATATCTTTTAAAATAATGTAATCAAGGATTTAATAATCTGATTTCTGTTCTAATAGGATCTCCCGAAAATTGCATTACTACACTTGAGACAACTTACACTTTATATATTGAATCCCGTGGCTTCGCTCGAGTGATTCACTCGATATATATAGTGTTCTAAGGGCTAAGATAGGATATGATCTCCACGTGTGCCAAATTTCATTCAATTGGCAGTTTTTGCGTGAAAGAGTAAGAAACATCTATCCATCCTTCACTACATATTTTCGCATTTATAACAGTAACAGGATTAATCTGAACAGCATTTTAGACATCATTGAATTTACTGTGACTCACTCCATACATTGCCAATAAGGACAGAACTTTTAGCCCGCCAGTATCAGATAACATTGTATTGGATAGCTTATACTCTTTGATCACAGAAAAAATATTTCCACTAAATTTGTTTTGACTTCAAAACGCAATTAATGTATATCGCTTTATACTAAAATCACTATTCACATTCGAAAACAAAAGATTATGCAGTAATAAAAAGTAAGTTTTTAACAAATACACAGATAGAATAAATGTTTGCCAAACTCGTGTTAATTTAATTGTTTATTAAAGCGATAACTAATTTAGATGTCCCTTCTCGTCGTGCAAATGACATTCGCCTTAGTTCTCGATCTCTGAATAATGCTGTGCATCTAGTTAGTATCTATTTATATAGATTGAGGGTACCGTGGCCTATTTACAAGTCCGAACTCAGACCAACACAGTACCTACCTACCCAAAGATCAGCTGTACAATGGGAATGTTCCAGGCAATTATGTGACCTGATGCCATCGTCACCTTTCTACCAGAGGGAGACTTTGTACAAAAGTTGTTTTGGGCACCTTTGTCCTATTCGTGTTTATACCGTGACGCAGTTGTGTTTACATGTCGTCAGTCAGTCAGTCAGTTTTCCCTTTACAATATAATATGGGGAATTAAAAAACAGTGTTTATAAACATTTAAAATGCCAGCAACGCACAAGCAACTCCTCTCGTGTTGCAGGTGTTCATGGGCGACGGTAGCTGCTTTCCATCAGGTAGACCGTCTGTTCGTTTGCCTCCCTAACAATAAGAAAAAAGATGTCGCAAAAGATGTCGTAATCCTACTAATAAGTAAATGTGAAAGTTTGTAAAGATATTTGGGTATTTAAATGTTTGAATGTCTGTTACTCAATTACGTCTGAACGGATTTATATTAATTTTGGATGTCAGCAAATCATTATATAAGCTGGCAACTGTCCACTGCTGAACATAGGTCTCCCTCGTCATAGACTGGCCATAGGGAAGGGTTCCGAGCCATCTGCATCCACCGATTCCCTGCATTCCCTGTTGTCGCTACATTAAGGTAGGGGTCGTCCTAGATAGATAGATACTCTTTATCGTTTCCTCCAAAAGATTACGATAGTAAACTTATTATAAATATAAACAATTACAAGATATAATCACAATGAGAAAACAATGGGCGACCTTATCGCTAAAAGCGATCTCTTCCAGGCAACCTCTCTTGATAGAGAGGAGTAATTATAAACAGTTTGATCGGAGGCACGATGAAATTCTATTATTTCTAAAATATAGAGATTGCATTGGTCTGCATTATGTCGCTATTCAAGAACCTTTTTCCCCCATCGGTTGTCGATTCTTCGAGCTATGCGACCAGTCCATTGACACTTCAGCTTGCTTATCTTTCGGGATATATCAGTCACTTTGGTTCTTCAGCGGGTGTTTAGAGCATAGCTCTCTTCATAGCTCGCTGAACAACTTGAAGCTTCTGCATACGACCAGCCGTGTAGGATCACGTTTCGTTGCCGTAGGTCATCATTAGTAACATGCACTGGTTAAAGAGTTCCGTATTATTCGTTTACGAGTATGTGAACAAACTGTACTGTTTGGAAAACGCGTAAGAAGTCGCGATCATAGCTAGTATATTATAAGCGAAGATCAAAGAGTCTTTATATATTTTTCTTATAAAGTAAGTACTAAAGAATTTATGATCCATAAGCAGAAAGCATTTATGTAAACCTATAAAGGGGACAGCGTAACAGCATTGTCCATCTACACGTAATACCTAGCAAGGAGATGGAATAAACACATTTGGTGTATTCATAAATATCGCACCACAATGGGATTCTTAGCAAAAGAACAGTAGCGCCATCTGTTGCTTCCCACGAGTATTTCGATATTTATGCTTGGAACTATAAACACAAACTATAAGATGCGAATCCATCAAAGGATTTTCTAATCTTGTCACAACTGAACATTCTAAACGTTCAAAGATTCCTTTGCTATATTTACCGTTGTATTATGTTTGGTTAAAGACTATAAAAAGATATACCTTCAACATTGATACATAAAAAACTCAAGATACACGATCGGAAATTAAACGACGACAGTGAAAAGTCATATAGAGCGCATTCTATTAAATTAGACGGTATTTCTAATAGTGCGTGGGCTGAAATGTTAATACCCATATTTTTTTTAATTGACAAGGAGTCTCATTCACACTGTGGTACCAGCATAGAATGGACCACCCCTCTCTTTCCCGTGGGTATCGAAAAAGGCGACTAAAGGGAACTGAACGATCGAAAGATGAGCTGCAACGTCCCCCTTAAAACATCACCAAAGCCTAACTGCGGTTGCCAAAACCCTGCTTATAGAGGAGACCTATGTTCATAAATAGACAGGTAACGGCTGATATGGTAAGGAGTGTCATATTTACAATAAAAAATAATCTCTAAAGTCCTCTCCTATGGTAACTACTTATTTAAGTTTAATTTGGGACAATTTCCATAGATATACATATATAGTACAAAATATGAATCTAGGATTGTTTTTATATCTATGACTGTCATGTCACATGTCACACACACACGGGAGACAAACGAGCATGCGGCTCACCTGATGGTAAGAGCCACCGCCCATGAGCAACACCAGAGGCATTACAGGTCATATCCCTCTTCAATTATCTCTCTCAAAGCTCTCCAAGCCAAAACACAACCATGAAAATACAGCTTCCTAGCAGCAGAAACACGAGTAGGACAGAAGTACCCAAATAGACTTTGTCAGATAAATTTTTTATTTACATCAACACTTTTAAACCAACTTGATCTTGGCCAAATTTTTTAATATAATATGTTTTAGATTAATCATTGCAAAGACTATTTAAGAAAGCTAATTAATATAAAACTTGAGTACTACAGTAGGTACCTACTTATTGTAAAATGTAAGTGGCAACTCTTTAGATATCTAGTAGGGTAAATCTATTTTGGTTGCATTATAAAATTAGTTTATTTTAATTAAGATTTTTTTATCTGAGGATTGACTAGACTAGGACTAGACTTATATAATTAATATATATGGTAAGTATTACTTACTCTGCTTTACGATTGAAAAAATATTCATAAGTGACTAATAATTGTTAATAAGGAGTATGGATTGAAAAACAGTGAAAATTAAGCCTCCTATGCTAAGACAAGCTTCTAAATTAATACAGACAGTGTAAATGGCACATATTTGAAGTTTTTCAACACATTTTTCTTCAAGAAAATTATTTAGTTCCATTAGTTGAACACTGGCTTAAAACTATGATTTCGATTTAAATTTTTATATAAACGTGTATATTAATTTGAAGGTCTGGGTAAAAATGGCAACACCGACAGCACAAAATTACATAATTTAAAATAAACGAGAATAAGAGTTAGCGGTAAGTCCTCTAATTTTCTGTAATTCAGGGTTGTCAGATGCAATTTTTAATTTTTATTCAAATAGTTAATTTTAAGTTATTTTGGTCTAAAAACTAAATTACTGCATCGATTTTGATAAAATTTCTATAGGACCAATCTGAAAGTATATGCTTTCAGACAAAATAGTTTTTTTCCGAATCGGTTTACAACTGACGGAGTTATGAGGTAACAAACAATTGAATTGAGTACCTCCTACATATTGAGGTCGGTTGAAGGAAATGCGCTATGATAAAAAAAAAAAAAAACTAACCTAAGATATTCTTACAAGATCTATAAAATCCCCTGCGATTTTAAGAAAGCAAATAGATGCGTTTATTTATAGCGTTGCGTTATGCTCTTTTGAGTGGATATTATCATAAATATGCGTCAACACAGCGTCATTTCACGTCGCATTACAGGAACAAGGATAAACAGAGCGAACATAGAACAAAGGCAAGAAAATGGAAAACAACTGTCAAGCCAGTTGGGGATTATAATTTTTGCTTTCCGGACGTCGCTCGAGATCAGCACGCATTGCAAAATGTACAAATGGACTTATCAATGCTAAAGATTGGCTTGCAATTTATATTAAATATGGCAAACCCACATTCAGAAAATGGTGTGTGCATGAAAAAGATTAAATTTATTTTGGGATCAAAACAAATTATTTTATTTGACTTTCCTATATGTAAAACGATTTTTTTATGTAATAAGATCATCTTATAGAATAAGTAACCAAATATTTTTTATGGAAGTTTTTTTAATGGATGGTAATGGAATGGATGAAAATGGTATGGTAACCCCGCCTGCGCTAACGGGATACGCTGGCGGAGCACCAGTGAAGGGTGATAGATGAGAATGAAAACAGGCCAGTTAGCCCATCATGATGAATTCATCAGGAATTAACCATGATAGTTTTCAGGGAGAACCGCGAGGAAGTCGACCTGTTTGGGTATATTGCTAGCAATGGGATTCTCAGTCTCCATTACTAACAATTCCTTTCCCCCTGGTAATGGAATGGTAACCCTGTCTGCGCTAACGGTATACATCAGAGGGGCACTAGTGAAGGATGATAAGTGAGAATGAAAGGACAGGACAGGTTAGTCCATCGTAATGAATACACCTGGAATTCAGCACTTTGGTTTCTAGGGGAACCACAGAGAGGTCGACCTAATAGGCTATAGTGTTAGCAATAGGACTGGTAATCCGCATTACTAACAATCCCTTCCCTCCACTTTCTCTAGACATGAACATGATTATTTATGGAGGGGAGGGAGGGATTGTTAGTAATGCGGACTACTAGTCCCATTACTAGCGATATACCCTATCAGGTCGACCTCCACGTGGTCCCCCCTGGAAACCATCGTGCTGATTGACAGGTCCATTCATAACGATGGGCTAACGGACCTGCATTTTTACTCTCACCTATCATCCCTCACTGATGCCCCGCCAGCGTATACCGTTACCGCAGGCGTGGTTACAATTTCATAATCATACATTAAAAGAACAGTATTATGGACATCATAGAATATACTGTGACACACATGTTAGGTACCCCCTATACGTTACCATTCTTGAGGACTATGATTTTATGCCTCCTAACTCTGTAATTTGGGGGGAAAGGGATTGTTAGTAATGGAAACTAAGAATCCCATTGCTAGCAATATACCCAACCAGGTCGAGCTCCTCGCGGTTCACCCTGGAAGCTATCATGGTAAAATGTAAACGAATAAATGAATTTTATTGCTAAAAATGTGGTACAATAAGGTGATATGGTAATTTTACATTGGTTTCACACATTTTGTCATTACTGACTTTTTTTATACAACTTAGAATGGCAAACAAGCCAACGGCCCACCTGATGGAAAGTGGTAATCGTCGTCGATAGACATGAGCAGTACCATGGACATAACAGAGTATACTGTTTCGCCCATGATACCCTCCATGTGTTGCTATTCCCGAGGACTCAGATGTTATTTCTCTGTACCCAGTAAATTCACGCTATATCCCACCCTTCAAACCGAAACACAGCCATGCGAACACAACTGCTTCACGGTTGAAACACGAATGGGACAGACGTACCCAAGCAATCGACTTATGTACAAAGTCCCCCTTTGCACAGTCATTACAAAATTATGCCAAAAAAATTCTTTAATGTGTAATAATGTAAATGCTTACATCAATTTTTAAACGTTAATTGTAATATTTTATATATATTCCTGGACACTATAGTAACATTTATTTACTAGCCATTTATGCAGACATTAGGTAAAGTATCTACTATCTACCTATATTTTATTTCATATCTACAAAAACTATATGAATTCCTATAGCCATTACAATCCATAACACTCGTCATTTTACGTTAAGTACTTACATTATTTTATAAAAAAACAAAAGGAGAAATGTTCAACAACAGTCTTGTCCGTCTTTTATCCTGTAGATATTATATTACGTGCGCAGTACAGGTGCAAAAGGTATATAAAGGTAAGAGGTCCATTTTTGTATCCATTCTCGATTGGATCAGCATAGTGTTTAGCACAACATTAGTTAGTTGTTAAAACAGTGATATGAAAACAGTGTATTGTAGGTAAGTTTGTGAATACTACACTAATGTTTTTTCGACCTTTATTTAAAAAAAAAAAAAATTATTGTGAAATTTTTAAAAAATGAATTTTTAGTACCTTTTTTGTTATAATGAGTAAAATATAGAATGATAAATTGTAATTACAGACAGTTATTTTTGTTTTAAAATATTGTATACGATCGTGTAATCAAATTTTTCTATACACAAAAAAGCGTAATAAAATAAAAAGAAAAAAAATATCAGGATTTAAATAATTTATTAAAATAAATTGTTACAAATTTGGTATTTGCTTATTAGCATACGGGTAATTTTTTTTTTTATTTTGTTTCCTTTGTATGTGTTTATGTCCATATTTACGTGTAAACAAAGTTAAAATCTTGCAAATATTTTTGCAATATTAAATTAAATATTTAACTTAGAACATAGTAATAGTTGATAACAATTAATTTTTTATATTTTTTACATTTTTTTTAAATATTTTGTGATAAAAACGGTATTAACGATTATAACGGTGCAAGCGGTATCGAACCCTTAAGTCTTAGGAGAAATTTTGCCTCACTCTGCGTGTTCTACCGCTTATACAACGGATTGTGCTCAGAGGAATTATTCAATATGATGCCTACGGCCACTTTCTATCATCGTACGGCTCGCCATCGGCAGGGAGTTCACCCTCATACCTTACAGCCTAAATGGTCGCGTACAACGCGGTTTCAGAGATGCTTTCTCCCACGAACACTCAGGTTATGGAATGAGCTCCCTGCCGAGGTTTTCCCGAGAGACTACAGCATGGGGTTCTTCAAAAGGGGGTAAAGAGGTTTCTTCAGGGTCGGCAACGCGCGCGTAATACCTCTGGTATTGCAGGCGTTCATAGGCTACGGTAACCGCTTACCATCAGGTGGGCCGTATGCTTGTTTGCCACCTCAGTGGTATAAAAAAAAATTTTTTTTTCGGCATCGAGTTTATTTATTAGCTTTTACCCGCGACTTCGTCCGTGTGGCCAACCGGCATATATCACACCGACCTGGATAAAAAGTAGACTATCTTCTCCATCACTTATAATACGTGTATACCAAATTTTATAGTCATTGAAGAAGCCGTTAAAGCATTATAAGGTAATGAACAAACAAACTCACTTTCACATTTATAATGTTAATAAGGGGGGCGGGGGAAGGGATTGTTAGTAATGGAAACTAAAAATCACATTGCTAGCAATACCTAACCAGGTCGACGTCCTCGCGGTTCTCCCTGGAAACTATCATGGTTAATTTCTGATGAATTCATCATGATGGGCTAACTGGCCTGTTTTCATTCTCATCTATCACCCTTTACTGGTGCTCCGCCAGCGTATCCCATTATCCCATTTTTCCATCCTAGTAGCTATTTGAATTTATAAAATTAATTCTTATTAATATTTTTTTTTTTTGGTGGATGAAAATGGAATGGTAACCCAGCCGGCGCTAACGGTATACGCTGGCGGGACACCAGTGAGGGATGATAGGTGACGATGAAAGCAGGTCAGTTAGCCCATCGTGATGAATTGCACTAGAATTAACCACGATGGTTTCCAGGGGGAACCACGTGGAGGTCGACCTGATAGGGTATATTGCTAGCAATAGGGCAGTTAGACCCCATTACTAACAATCCATTTCCCCCCAGTGAATTGTATTGAAATGTTTAGCTGTATCTAATGTTGGTAATCCTATAAATAAATAGTAAAAATATTTTTCAATGTGACGCAATTTTTTCAGGTCAAATTCTTTTTATTTCAGTAATTCGCCCGTTTTATAATTACCTTAAAAGAATAGTGAATCTTTTAAATTCCAAGAGTTAACTTTATCCCTTTGGATCTTGAAGAATTCTTAAAAATATTTCATTTCTTGACATTTACTTAGATAGGTACTGTTTGTTGCTTCTTGTTCTCATATTTGATATAACTTAATCTCTGAATACATTGAACATGTTATAATTATATTTACTTGCCACAATTATATAATAAGTATTTACTTTGTTACTCCTCGTGTTACTGCAAAAAACCGATTATTTACCGATTTGTTTTTACTTGTGCATTTTCATTTTTTTAATTTACATATTCATTTTTTTTTATGCAACGTAGAATGGCAAACATGCTGACGGCCCACCTGATGGAAAGTGGTAACCGTCGCCTATAGACATGAGCAGTACCATGGACATAACACAGTATACTGTTTCGCCCATGATACCCCCTATGCGTTGCCATTCCTGAGGACTCAGATGTTATTTCTCTGTACTCAGTAAATTCATGCCATATCCCACCCTTCAAACCGAAACAGCCATGCACACACAACTGCTTCACGGTTGAAACACGAATGGGACAGAGGTACCCAAGCAATCGACTTCTGTATAAAGTCTCCCTCTGGTAAAATTCATTCATTTTTGTGTAATCATAGTATTATGAACTAGGATATCGAATTGTAAAGGTATCGAGCACCACCTAAGACCTATCGAGATGGTAAAAAATTTGAATAAGAATCTTTAAGCTTTCCACTAGTTTTGTAAATGTAATTTAATTTAATAATAATAATAATAAATCATTTATTCAACTACTAAACATATAATCATCAATAACAACTTTATATATTAAAATAATAATTCTGTGGCAGCAGCTGAAATGGTGCTCACTCAGTTTAAGCTGCAGCGTGTTGCTGCAGCGCTGTTTTTCAGTGGGACCACCACTCGATAGGAACTAGCACTCTAGAAACTGAATTAAATATATAATATACTATTACCTGGACCTTAAAGATTGTATCAGTACTATATATGGAAATCATACCTTATATATCTTTTTTTTTTTTATGCAACTTATAAAGGCAAACGAGCTGACGTCCCACTTGATGGAAAGTAGCAACCGTCGCCTATAAACATGAGCAGTACCATGGACAACAGAGTATCCTGTTTCGCCCATGATACCCCCCCTGCGTTGCCATTCCTGAGGACTCAGGTGTTCTTCCTCTGTACCCAGTAAATTCACTGTCCCACTCTTTAAACTTAAACACATGTATGTAAACACAACTGCTTCACGGTTGAAACACGAATAGGACATAAGTGCCCAAGCAAACGACTTTTGTACAAAGTCTCCCTCTGGTAAAATATATATCTATCATACCTTATATAGGGTGCTTCAAAAAAATGTATACACACTTTGAACTTCCATAGAAAATTTATTTACCGTTCTACAAAGTTAAATTTCAGGAAAATAGAAAGCTGAAAGTTCAACTGATAATATAACATAGAGGGACGATTATGCTGGCACCTGGCGAAGAAATATAACATTAGCCTTGTAGAGCGGGAAAACTACAATAGTTTAAAGTGTGTATACATTTTTTTGAAGCACCCTGTATATCAGGCACATAAAATTGGACAGTTACTGCTGAATATATTAACATAACCAATGTATATTTATAGAATTCTTATAATAAATAAGATTTGAAAAACTTCATAGATATAATAAAATTTTACGGCCGCTAAATTTGTTTTATAACTTGTGATAAAGTATAACATTATCATTGCAATACCTACTAAATTTAAATATTTTCTATGACACTTTGTTGTTGATCCAATATTTAAGGTTTTTTTTTTTTTATAGAACTTAGAATGGCAAACAAGCTGACGGCCCACCTGATGGAAAGTGGTAACCGTCGCCTATAGACATGAGCAGTACCATGGACATAACAGAGTATACTGTTTCGCCCATGATACCCCCATGCGTTGCCATTCCTGAGGACTCAGGTGTTATTCCTCTGTACCCAGTAAATTCACGCCATATCCCACCCTTCAAACCGAAACACAGCCATGCAAACACAACTGCTTCACGGTTGAAACACGAATGGGACAGAGGTACCCAAGCAATCGACTTTTGTACAAAGTCTCCCTCTGGTAAAACGATAAATGCATTGGTTTTTTATGGGTGACAATGAAATGGTCACCCCGCCTGCGCTATCGGTATACGTTGACGGGGCACCAGTGAGGCATGATAGGTGAAGATGAAGCAGGTCAATTAGCCCATCGTGATGAAGTCAACAAGAATTACTCACGATAGTTTCCAGGGGGGACCACGTGGGGGTCGACCTAATAGGGCATATTGCTAGCAATAGAGCTGTCAGATTCCATTGCTAACAATCTCTTCCCCCCATATCCACGGTACTGTTCATGTCAATGTGACCACTGTCCATCAGGTGGGCCGTCAGCTTATCATTCCATATCGTATAAAAAACTGTGCAGAGGCGTGTCGGTGGTGGTGGTGTACATGGTGGCGGCGGCGCTGGTCTCCGCGCAGATCACCTTCAGCCGCGACTGGACCGGGGGCAAGCGGGCTGCCCCACAAATCGCGCTCGACTGCGGACAGTTCACCAGGCTGTGCCGGCACTTTGTGGTGAGATATCTTTTAAGTGGGTGATAATGGAATGATAACCCCATTTGCGCTATTGGTATACGCTAGAGGGGCACCAGTAAGGGATAATAGGTTAGAATGAAAATGCAGGTCAGTTAATCCATCGTGACGAATACACCTGAAATTTAGCATGAGGTTTGTGGAGATGGTTTGAGTGGGGACCGCGGGGTGGTAAACCTATATTTTTAGTGGGTGAAAATGAAATGGTGATTGCGCCTGTGCTGTCGGTATATACAGGCGGGTCACCAGTAAGGGATGGTAGGTGAGGATGAAGGTCGATCTATATTGGGTAGAGCATATTGCTGGCAGTGGGGCTGGTAGTCCCCATTACTAACAATCCTTTCCCCAAATGAGATATTTATATACGATGATACCAAAATCAGTATCATCCTTTTAAGGGTATGTTCTATTAGTGTAATGGAATATTTTTCCCAATTGGATATAAATCGAAAAATTAACCTCGATAGTTGGACGCACCATGCGTTTCACGTAAAGACGTACCACTGCACCTCTGGTGGATAGTTTTGGAACTTAGATGCTCAACAAACACAAAGTTATCAGCGATCAAAATTTTTTGTCGGATTTTTTTATTAAGTTTTATTTTCAGTTCATATTCATTTTCTCTAGTAGAACACTAAAATGATGCTAATGATTTTAAAAGAAAATTATAAATGGATAAAGAAGGATAACGAACGATGAAACTCCCTAATTACCTACCTACTCAATAAAAATATATTACTTGCAGCACGAGTTAAAGCAAGCGATGTCGACTGACATGTCATCGAAACACCGCCGCGACGAACCGGACAAAGTGGCACCCATATACGATGATGAGAAATAGTCCAACACTACCTTGGGGCTTAACACTATCTTGTAGACATTGTCATGATGAGGCTGAATATGTTTTCTAGCTTATTAGCGATTATTTGATATTAATGAATCTAAATTCAAAGAAAATATAAAGCTCTTTTTTATGTTAGATTATATCCGTTATTAGAATCAACTGACGATAAATATTTTATTAACTTATAACTCTTATTTAATTATCCGTAACGTATCATAAGCTTAGGATGAAGTTGGGATAATATTTCTTAATCCATAGAGATACGATTGTCATTGCAATGTGACTGGCCATATTTAAATTGGAACTTGACTGGCTGGAAATAGTACTCCGAATTCAAAGTGGCCAGTTACTTCTATACCATGCATACATTATAAAAAAAAAAAAAATTGTAAAAACGCGCAAAAAGTATTGTCGTTTGCAAATTTTAAAAACTTTCTTACTTTTTTTTGTGTTTCCAACATCATCAATATATCAAATGGCGCAAGTGTGTGTGTGCATATCTGCAAACATATTTAAACCGTCCCGAGAATAAGATCTTTATTGTCACAGATAATATAATTTATTGTTCTACTAATTATTAATTATTGAGTCATTTCACATCTGAGCTCAATACTTCTTACATATTTTTTTTACAGTTGCTCTATTTGTAAACGGTATGTCAATCTTAATCTATGTTTGCATAGTTCGATGTAAATATACAGATATGCACTTGGGGTCGGTTATATTAACAAAACGCTTAAAATATAATTTCCTTAATTGTAACGAACAGTGTTTTTATTCTAGTCGTGACTGTAATGTAAATATAATAAATATTTTATGATTTAAGTCAATGAAAACTCTATTGAGTATAAATCTACACTTAGCTTACACTAGCCATATTTTTTTTATACCTACATCATTAATTGTAAACCAACATTATACATATTTAATATATAACATAGGTTTACAACTCAGGTTTATAATTTATATTTTGGTCCTATTGTAATAATTTATTTGCAAAACTAATACAATTGTAAGAACTTATAGCTCTATACTTAACTGTATTAGATGTACTCTTAGTCGATATAGTAAGATAAAATAGTAAATAGTATAGAACTGTTAATTCTTATGCACCGGTATTATTAACTTTTATTATTAAATGTTATGAATATATTTTATTAAAAATATTTAAATTTGTGGAAATTATCAATTAATATTTTAGGCACACTATTATTTTTTTCGGCTGGTATTTAATATGGCAGAATTAATTAAGTTCACCACTACGTGGGCAGTCGATTATTTCTATAAATGTATTTTGTTATTAAAACTATTTTTTATTTACCTATTTGGAATAAAGATTCATCATTGCCGTGGTGCATCAGAATTGAGCAAATAATATAAAAGTCCTAAGTACAATTTCTTGTATGATGTCATTTGGTGTAACTAACAATTGAATGCGCGACAAACTTATGATATATCTCGCCCAAGAGATTCTGACGTTGTGAATAAAAATATTATATAGTAACGAACTAAAGTCAATGCAAATAAAGCAGATTTAAAATGTGGTGTTTTTATTTTATAACTATTCTAGACTAATCTTACTGTAAAATTTAAAGTCAATCCGTGCAGGCCATTAGCGCAGAGGTGGGAGGAAGGGGGGGGGGAGGGTTACCATCATCATCGCAGCCATTATCCGTCCACTGCTAAACATAAGCCTCCCCCATAGACTGCCATAAAGAACGGTCCTGAGCCACCTGCATTCACCGACTCCATGCAATGCATTTCAGGTTGTTACTCAATCTAGTGGGGGTCGTCCTACACTGCGTTTGCTACTCAAGAACCACTCTTCTCCATGGGTTGTCTGTTCTTCGAGCTATGTGACTAGCCCATTGCCACTTCAGCATGCTTATCCTTCGGGATATGTCGGTTACTTTGGTTCTTTTGCGGATAACCAAGACACTCCGAGCATAGTCCTCTCCATAGCCCGCTGTGTAGTTTGAAGCTATTGGATACGGGCAATCGTGTAGGACCATATTTTGGTTCCATAAGTCATCACTGGCAACACGCACTGGTTAAAGACCTTCGTCTTCAAACTAGTAGAGATTTTGGATGAAAAAATATGGCGTAGTTTACAGAATGCTGCCCAGCGGAGTTGGATTCGTCGGTTGACCTCTCGGTCGAAGTTTAACTTACCCATTCGGATACCTTTTTGTTTTAATGTGTAATAACGGAATGGTAACCCCATCCGCGCTATCGGTATACACCGGCGGGGAATCAGTGAAGGATTATAGATGAGGATGAAGCAGGTCAGTTAGCCCTTCGTGACAAATTCACCAAGAATTGTTCACGATGATTTCCAGCGGGACCACGTGGAGGTCGATCTAATAGGGGATATTGCTAGCAATGGGGCTGTCAAACTCCGTTGCTAACAATCCATTTCCCCCATTCGCATAACTTGTCCCAGGTAAACATACTCATCGACAACTTCGAGCGTAGTGGTGACATGGACGTTAGACATTATTTTAATCTTGTCTATGCTCATCTTCCACCAGTTGAAAAACACCATTGAGCATAATATTCAGATCCTCCAGAGATTTCGCTATGATTACTATGTCATCGGTAAATCGAAGGTGAGTAATGTATTCGCCATTGATGTCTTCCAATACGTCGTCACCCTGTCTTACAACTTTCTGTACTGGGGTTACCATTCTATTACAATCCATTAAAAAAATGCAAGAAGAAAAATGAAAACAAATACTTAATTAAAATATCTTTATTGGAATAATTGATTTTATATACAAATTACATACAATAAAATAATGTATATCAATATACTCCACTAGCAAAATCGAACGCTATCAAACGAAATTTCTAATTATAAAGATAATTAATGTCATGACAATAATAAACTATATATATATATATATATATATATATATATATATATATATATATATATATATATATATATATATATATATATATATATATACATATACATATATACATATATATAGGCACTCGTAAATAACTTGAGCATAATTTTATTACTGTCTCGCGCTGTAAAAAAAAAATGTAAAAAATGACTACAGCGCGTGTTTTATTCTAAGAACAAGGAATTGCAAAGAAGGAATGATAAAATAAAAACTGTATATCGTATTATTACCTCCTTTTTTCTAATGCAAATATATAATTAGTAAAAAAAGGACGAATAATACACCATCAGTTGCTATTTTTGCCAATTCATAGCAGGCTAGTGTATAGATAATGTTATACGGCCGTATAACCCTGCTGCTGCTTGCAACACAATTTATGTACATACTCTCTACATAAAATGTGTCGAATATATGTATAACCTAGTAATGTAAATGAACAAAAATTTTACATAAACATTTTCTTTACACTAGTCTGCTATGAATTAAGAAAAATAGCAACTGATGGTGTATCTTTCGTCCTCTTTTTACTAATTATATTTGCATAAGAAGAAACGAGATAACCGTATGATTTACAGTTTTCATTTTATCATTCCATCTATGTAATTCCTTGTTCTTAGGCTTAATTTGTCATTTGTCACGAACTGTAATAATTTGTGCAATCTTAAAACACAAAAATGTCATGTGAAATGCTAACTAGGGTTGCCTAGTAGTCGATTAAATTGCGTAAACTTTCATATCGATACTATCGATTTAATACTATCGGGTAGAGCGATCGATGTTTTTTTTTTGGGTGATAACTCTTGACATTATGTCTATATATAAATGTATAACGGAAATTTTATAAACTTCATCCAGAAGTCTACAAGTCTTCTTTATAAAGAGTACGGTCCTTTTACGTCGGAGGCGAGACGTTGTCGAATTAAAACGATTGCCGGCAACGACGAACTTCGTATGTTCATAAAATTACCATTATTTATATAATATTTAAATATAAATGAACATAAATTTAAAAAATAATCAATTAATTAGTCAACACGATTAATTAGTAAAATATTAAACTATGATTATTTATAACCTAATGTTATTGTGATATACTCGCTATGTTACCTACATATATATATACCTAACCTACGTTAATTAGGTGGCATGGGATTGTCTTATATTAAAGCGAAAGTTCTCTGTAGGACAGCAACAATGGTATATTTTTTTATCATCTCATACAATTCCAACTTTAAGATTTTTCCACTTTTTGTGCTGAAGCCAATTGATAAATTTTCCATTGACGTTGTTACTTCGAATATATTTTGTGTGTATTTTTGATTATATCTTCGTTAATTATTGATAATTATCTATTGAAAATTTTGTGCCTTGTAAAAGACTAAATTTTTTCCTCTAATTTATAAATAAATATAAGAAATAAGTTGTTAACACTTCAAAACAGTAGTCGAAAAAGATTTACAGAGTACTATTACTTTTCTAATTGTCTATTCAATTATTAATTAGGAGACAAAATATCTAATAACCTCCATAAAAAAGACATTGGGTATATAATATGTTATAAAGTCCTATGGTATTGTTGTATGTCTGTCTGTAATTGGTAATCTCCATTAAATGCATCTAATTCAGATTTTTATTTTCACGGCAAGTATTTTATGGTATAGGCAGCGAAAACTATAGTTGTGTTGTTTGAAGATTAGTTTACATTTACTAGAAATATTAATATAATAAACAGGATCGGTTAGCTATTAGTATTCTTTATTTATATTTTTATATTTTTAGGATTATTGAATTTATTACCTTTGTTGCTGACCATATATTTTATATTACTTAACTAAATGTCACACTTTTAAAACCACTGTTCAATTTCGTGGCCTATAATTAATAAAAATATAATTGCCACATACACTATATTTTGGAAACAATTTTGTTCTTATCAATTTTTAATTACCAATTTTAAACTATAAAAAAAGCTTAATATTAAATAATTCTACAATAAATTGCTATATCTTAGACCAGCGGTTCCTAAACTTTCGAATTTTTTCACTGGTTCATTGAACCAAGACTTATGAACCTTTAAATTGTTCGGAACTTCAGGAATCGCTGCTTAGTTAATAATAAATGTAATTGTTAATATAATATGGCGCTGCCATTTTCTTTTTTATTTTGTGATATTTTAACAAAATTAGATATGTCTATGAATAGTGCTGCCATCAAATATTTCAATATATATATATATAGATATAGGTATCAAAGTAATATAGATACAGAAAAAAACTATTATAATACTGATTTTCTCTGAGAAATAACTATTTTAACATATAAACTATATATTAGTTAATTATAAAATAATTGATATCAAATATACAAATATTTAGTAAAGCACTATGTTTTAAAAAATATTTGTTCGGTCATTCTACAGTTGGTAGTTCTCAACTTTTCCTGAATCATTTAAAAAAAAAAAAAAGTTATGTCCGATGCCTAATTTCTATAGATTTATTATTATTGTTTCAATAAGCATAAAACGTACTAAAAGAGATACCTATTAATGCTTTATGATAAAACCGCTTTATGACAGTGAGTCTTTGATGGCAGTACCAAATGGATATACAAAAGTACATATACAAAAATACTTCTTAATCATCGTCAGTAGCACAACATCTTACATATTCCAGCGCTTTATTTAAACAGTCCAACCATATATCCCGGTCTTTTGCTGTGTCAGCTGCCAGTAGGTGTCTCCTGAGGATAGTGCCGTCTTCTCTCTTGAAGTAAACTAGCGAACCGCTATCCGGTACGATGAGACCGGCGGGAACGGCCGATTCTAATAGGATGGTGTTCGGCCGCGCGCATAGATCTCGTGGCGCTTTTATCACCTTTTCGGAGATCACCGTGGATAGATCGATATCTCCGATCGGTAGCTGTTGAATAGAAAATGGCAGAATTAATAATAAAAAGTGCTTTATTTAACCTCTAGTGATCCGGCCCGCCTTCGTACGGGCAGTTAAAATTTTCGAAAATAGATTAAATGGTTTTTGAGTTTATTCATTACAGGACAAACAAACAAATAATTAAATCTTCCCTCTTTATATTTATGATTCAATGAATGAAAACATCTTTAATCATATACATCTGTCACAGACTCATATGATACGTCATTTATAATTATTATATAAAAGAATATTAATAAATTTAATTAAAAGTCATTAAAAATAGAATAAAAAGAGAGAAAAAAAAAAAACAATAATTATATATTACACATTAACACAATGTTTAAATCCATGGATCTTTGTCATTTAAATAGTCAATTATTTTATACTATGCTTTAGTACAAAGAATCCTTTTTTAAATATATCTTAAAATTTCTTTCATTTAAATTTAAAGCCTCGTGTGGAAGTTTATTATAAGAAAGTATATAATTAGTATAGATAATCAAATATTTTACGTAACAACAACATTAGGATTGTTTTTATGCAGTCCCAAACGTGACAGCTACCTTTGAACAACGGTATCGGAGATGGAATACAACAGACTGAGTACAATGTCATAATAATATTACAAGTATTTATAAGAGGAAATCGGTGTACTAATCGGGCAATATCTAAGAGCACCGTTTTTTGCGTCTTTCCTAGGAGAGAGCTGTCTCGGAATTCCAACCGTCTGTTAATATTAAGGAAATGAAGCTTGCCGCAGCTTGCTTATTAGTACAACAAATATTGCAAAATCTACCATACCTTCCGCTGTACATCGTCAGGGTACTTCCAGTAGGACAACTGAGGCGGCTGGAGTCTGAACCATCGCCGGTGCCAGGCGCCCAGCCCCGACACGTCGTCGAAGGCCGTGAGGAAGGCGGCGTGAGGAGCCGGCGCTGGCACCCGCACCTTCGCGACCATGTCCAGCTGGATTGACCCTTCAAGTGGACTCCCACACGGAACCTTTATGTACGGGGACGGAATGAAAGTAATCTTTATTCAAATGTAATTTTGACATGTCGAGGGTCATTGGTAACTGTAATGTCCAGGAAATACGGGAGCACTCAATTAAACAACCTCAGTTGATACTCCAGGTTTTTAATACTACCTTCCGAACTTTTATTACAAAAGTACCTTCACTACATCTCCTCCACAATTAAATTAACAACTGAAAATTGTAAGCACATAGGACTACTTATTAACTATGAAAACTTATATATAATAACTTAGGTCATTATTCACATTTACAGCACAGTGAATGAGAAAATGTCTTAGTTAATTTTATTGATAGTTACAGCTCTATATTTTTCCTCCACAATTAATATCGAGACATTACTACAATATAGATATATAAAAGAAAACCACAAAAATAAAAAAAAAATCTTAATTATTAATCCGGGAAATATTACGGGAATCATAACTTAATAAGAAATAATAACTACTAATACTATAAGATATACACTATGCTATAAACCTAATTATATACTAAAAAAATAATCTTTTGGGTGGATGAACTGGGCGTCCCGATCGTGTGCGGCGGACTCCAGGAACAGAGGCGGCGCGCGGTGGTGACCGCTCGGGCGCCTCGTTGGGAGGCGTGCCGTACGAGTCGTAATCGGCATCGTTGGGCGCCCGCGGCTCCGGCGAGCCGGCCGGTGTAGACGGCCGCACCTCGCCTTCCACTCCTAACCCTGGAGCCGTAGTTGGCGAGTCTGACTGAAACGGCTCCGTAGTTAGATCGTGGGTCAAAGAACAGGTTGTCCCGTTGTCGTACTTATCATATGACCAAGCGGAACTATTCACGTTACCATTATAAGTCTTCGCATCCAGTAACTGGTTAATGTGACGCCTCCAAACGATATCAGTGTCCTTTACAGCAACATCGTAAACAACCTTACCGACACGACTGACGACCGATCCTAACACCCACACCGGTCTTTTTGGATTAAATCGATAGTCTCTAATCCAAACCTTATCATATCGCGAAAAGTATCGTCCTTTGCCACCGAAACAACGTCGTTGGCGTTCCTGGTTCAGCCGTACACGGTTATTAATCAACATTGGGTTAGGACCTGTGGCCGACGGTCGGACAGATATGAGGTCGAGTTTACATCGTAGATTCCTACCGAACATGAGTACTGACGGCGATACACCAGTCGTGCAGTGTGGCGTATTTCGGTAATAAAATAAATAATCATCTAATCGGCTACCTATATTTTTTATGGAACAATCTTTAAGCGCGTTTTTAATAAATCGTTTGCATGTTTTAACCGCGTTTTCGGCGAGTCCATTACTTTGCGGCGAATAAACGGGAGACAATATGTGAGTGATACCGTTGACGTCACAAAATTTTCCGAACTCAGAAGACGTAAAAGTTGTTGCGTTGTCTGTCACAATTGTTTTAGGCAAACCGAATCTCGAAAATACTTTTTTTAAATTTAAAATTAAACTTTGAGACGTCATATTTGGCATATCCAAGCATTCAATCCATTTACTATGAGCATCGACTAAAACAAGAAATATTTTACTACTTAAGGGCCCAAGATAGTCCAAATGAATTCTATCAAAAACAGATACAGGCCAATTCCATGATTCCATGTGAGCTTTCGGGGGAGCTGACCGAACGGAAATGCAACGGTCACAGTTGGACACTGTTTGTTCAATATCACGGTCGATACCCGGGTACCAACAACGCTCTCGAGCCAACGACTTCATTTTCATTATGCCTAAATGCGCAGCATGGAGTTCTTGTATCACAGCCGACCTGTATACCTCGGGTACGACCACGCGATGTCCACGCATTAAACATCCATTGTCAACATGAAGCTCGTGCTGACACCGGCTGTACGGCAGCAATTCTACTCGTACTTTCCGTGGCCACCCTTTATTTATATATTGTATGACATCAGAAAGTGTAATGTCGGCAGCAGTAGACGACCGCATCTCCTCCAATGAGGCGGGCAATGTCGCACCGGCCGCCGCTAGTGCGTTAATATAACTAGGCATTTCGGTGTCATTAATTACTTCTTGCGGTTCCATTTCCACAGGAAACCGACTTAAATAATCAGCAACATTATTTCCACTGCTAACGAATTCAATTTTGTAATTATAAGCAGCGAGAAATAATGCATATCGTTGAAGCCTAGATTCAGTCATTTGAGGTACTCCTTTTTCTGGCGAAAAAATTGACAACAAGGGTTTGTGATCGGTTCTCAAAATGAATGGTTGCTGACGGCCATAAAGATACTGGTGGAATTTTTTGATACCATAAATGATGGCCGTCGCCTCCTTTTGAATCTGGCTATATGCACGTTCGCTTTTGTTTAATGCTCGTGACGCATAGCAGATGGGACGTTCGGCACCGTCGTGGTAGCGCGCTGCTAGAACCGCGCCCAGCCCACTTGGCGCCGCGTCTACGGTAAGCACGAGCTGCTGTCGGGGGTCATAGTGAGCTAACACTCGTGATGAACTCAATTCCCTTTTTACAGCATTAAACGCTTTTTGGTGCTCGTCTGTCCACTCCCACTCGATATCCTTTCGCAACAAAGTATGTAGTGGTTCTAGTAACGCCGCCGCTTGCGGTATGAAACTGTGATAAAAATTTACAATTCCTAAAAACGATTTTAATTGTTTCGTATTCATAGGAACCTTGACATCAATAATTGCTCTAATTTTATCTGGATTTTTGTGAATTCCCTCCCGATCTATGATAAACCCCAGATATTCCACTTTTTCCTGAAGAAAATAGCATTTAGATTTTTGCAATATAAGTCCAGCATCTCTTAGTCGAATCAAAACTTGTTCTACGCGTTCCCAGTGTAATTCGGGAGTAGATGCGGCAATAAGCACATCGTCGAGGAAACATACGACTCCATCTATGCCGTTCAACAATTGAACCATTGCACGCTGGAATAGCGCTGGTGCGTTTGCTAAGCCAAACACTAGCCGAGTGTAAACAAATAACCCCTTATGTGTATTTATACATGTGTATTCTTGAGACTGGTCGTCTAGTAAAAATTGATTATAGCTTTGTGACAAATCGAGCTTGCTAAAATAGCGACAACCGTGCAAGGAAGCACATAACTCATTCAATTTGGGTAGTGGATACGAATCCACTTTTAATATTTTATTAATTGTACCTGAATAATCGCCACAGATACGTACTTCGTTGTTCTTTTTTAAAACGGCAACAATCGGTGACGCGTACTTCGAATAAGAAACCGGTTTTAAAATACCTATCCGTACCAGTCTATCTAACTCCGCACTCACTTTGTCCTTGAGTGCAAAGGGCACTGTTCTAGCTTTACAAAATTTTGGGACAGCGCCCTCCTTCAAATGTAATGTCAACTTATAGCGATTAAAAGTACCAAGGTTGTCAGAAAACAGGGAATTATATTTATTTAAAATTGAGCTGTACTTATTTGCTGAGCAGTGATTTACTGTCACTAGTGCTAAATTAAATTTATACAAAAAATCCCTGCCAAGAAGCGAAACTGGGCCATTATTTACCACATAAAAATGAATGTACTGAGAGTTGTTATTATACGTAATCAATAAATCACATACTCCAATAGGTGACAACAACGAACCGTTATAAGTACGTAAGATTTTATCAGACTCACCGAGTGGATGGGTTTTAGAAAAATACCTGCGCCACACCGCCGACGGCATTGCCGACACCGCGCTGCCCGAGTCTATTTCCATGCTAAACGGTTTCCCGTCCGCGGTCACCGCCACAGTCATCGGCGCACCCTCAGAACATCTAATATTATTTAACAGCGCATAATCGCTGTTTTCGCTCTCGTTATCACATTCACTGATAAAATTACTTCGCTTTTCGCTATTCCTATTTCTACGTGACTTAATGTTTTTACGGTCAACCATACGAACACTTTTCGAGGCACACATACGTTTTAAATGACCTTTAACACCACAATTATCACAAGATAAATTACGATAACCGCACTGAGAAGACGAATGCGATTTAGCGCCGCATACTGTGCAGCGGGGTGTCACGCCATTTGCGCACCCGCCGCCGCCGCCGCCGCCGCCGCTGCCGCTGCCGCCGCTGCCGCCGCTGCCGACGTCGCGGCTCCTGCCAGCGGTCGCATGGCGCCGCTCTGTCCGCTCAGCCGCGTACAGCACCGATTCAGATTTAATATTGAGCGCTGCCAGATCTGAACACGCAACCCGTTGCGCGCTTTCTACTGCTCCTGCTACCTCGACTGCTCGTGTTAATTTGAGTTGTCCTGGATCCTCCCGAAATAACTTCTCTCGTACAACTGGGGAGTCAACGCCGAGGACGAAACGATCCGTCATACACATTTCTAGCGAAGTACCAAACTGACATGTAGATGCCAAGCCACGAATACGCGCAGCATATTCTGGTAGGGACTCGTGGGGGTCTTTCTTAGCCGAATAGAATTTCTGCCGTTCCGCATATATGCACTTTTTGGGTTGAAAATGAGCATCCAAAGTATCTACAATCACACTGTAGGTGGCCGACTCGGGCACAATTGGAAATAACAAATCACGAGTTAACCGATATGAGTCCTGTGACATGCAATTAAGTAATATAGCACGTCGTTTAACTCCATTCACGTCGCTTGTATCGTTAATACCATTAGCCACAAAGAAATTTTTCAACTGTGCACTATGAACTCCCCACTCATCACTTTTACAGTCAAATAATGGCACGCTCCCGTAAACTGACATTTTATACTATGTTACTGTGAGTTCAAAAGTCGATCAATTATCAACTGAAAGCCTCGTCGCCACTGTAATGTCCAGGAAATACGGGAGCACTCAATTAAACAACCTCAGTTGATACTCCAGGTTTTTAATACTACCTTCCGAACTTTTATTACAAAAGTACCTTCACTACAGTAACATTTAATGGAATTTAGAATTCCATTTAAAGTGACTAATACGTTTACACAAAAATTCTACAAAAAAATAAATAAAAACATTGTTGAAGTCTTCTGAAATGATAAAAAAAGAAAGGCAAACTGACATTCTCGGCAAGAATACAAGTAAGTCAATCAGGGTTTTACTACAATTTGAAATTGTATATAATTTTAGAGTTGTGAGAACGACACCAGCCGATAACTCCCCCACCCAAATGATCAGTTATTCTTTTAAAGTATTTTAATATTTTGGCGCCAAATTATTATTTTTTTAATTAACGCAATCGTTTAGGTAAACTATGATAATTTACCTGGATCGTCTCAACATTACGACCAGGTTACACAGACTGTGGTTTCGAACAATCTACTGCATTTTATAATTGCATAATATAACACAAACCTTGTTGAGAGTAAATGTTTTCCTGGTGGCTTGCTGCAGCGCGAATATACAATAACCATGCAGTTGGAACTGTGGACTGCGGACTGCTAGCGGCCCAGCAGGACTTTGTACTCGGGGCGCCTTCAGCTCGGACACTTTCGACTTTGGTGTGAGCAGCTTGGAACTCGACTGTGAAGATAATGAGAATGTTAATTGTGTACAAGCTGACAGGGGAAAGGGATTGTAAATAGATTTGGCAGCCCTATTGCTAGTATACCTTATCAGGCCGACCTCTACGTGGTTCCCTCTAGAGATCAATGTGGCTAATTCTTGTTGAATTCGTCACGATGAGCTAACGGACCTGCTTCATCATCACCTATCATCCTTCACTGGTGACCCGCCAGTGTATTATCACTCATAAAAAAAGGCTGACCGCTCACATTAAACCTTTTTTAAACGACTAGCTGTAGCTCGCGGCTTCGTTCGCGCGAATCAAGATATAAAGTTTCCATGATCTAAATTAGGATATAATTTGCCCTATATACCAAATTTAATTCAAACCCGTTTAGTGGTTTTTGCGTGAAAGAGAACTACTGCCCTTAAACGCTTTCTGTTTTTACCTAATAGTTAGCTAGTAGAGAATGCCATATGACATTAAGCTCTCCATTTGTACAAATTTAATTATCAAAAAAGGATAAATAATAGTCATAAGATTTGGTTTACTGTTAAGCGGACTGTCAGGTTACCCCCCCCCCCCCCCCCCCATTAGCACTAATGATACTAACACCATAAAAATTACATACAATACAATCGCGGGATTTCCCATAAAACATAAACGAAAAAGGTTGTCAACTTAAAAAAAACAAAATGTTACGTAACACGTTCTTCGAACTCTCCTCCCGCCTTTCTAACCCTGTGTTACAAAATAAACTATAATAAATAGCTTGATAGTTTCCCAATACGCTTGTCTAGAAACCACTTAATAAAATAAACATAACAAAACATAATAAAATTCTAAATCTCACCTTTTTATTTGAAATATGGTATTTCACATCATGCGGCAATATTTCTTTAGATGCTTGCAGCAAATACACTTCGACTGTGACCTGAAAAAACAGAAACAAATAGTTTGAGATTTCTGTTACATCATATGTATTACACCTACTATTTATATATTCATATGTTTAGTTTTTCACAGTAGTGAACACCCTGGAGTCGATTCTATTCTCTAATGTCTCATAATCTCTAATTTTAGAAATTCAAACGACGCAAATAAGAGATCAATCTTGAAATGTTATTTTCTAAATTTATTACTAACATTAAATTTTTCTAATAGTTTTGTGAATCAGTTATGATAAAGAACATTGAGAAATAAATGTAAAGTACATAGTTTGATGTAATATCAAATTAAAATTTGATATTTCACCGAACTAAGTACGTAAGTACACTACTAGTAAAACGTTTTAGAGATAAAGCTCATTTGAAACTTCTTTTTTTTATACAACTTAGAATGGCAAACAAGCTGACGGCCCACCTGATGGAAAGTGGTAACTGTCGCTTATAGACATGAGCTGTACCATGGACATTACAGTGTATACTGTTTCGCCCATGATACTGCCCATGCGTTGCCATTCCTGAGGACTCAGGTGTTATTCCTCTGTACCCTGTAAGTTCACGCCATATCCCACCCTTCAAACAGAACTGCAACACAGCCATGCAAACAAAACTGCTTCACGGTTGAAACACGAATGGGACAGAGGTACCCAAGCAAAATATACAGGATGGAATAGACAGGACGACCCAAACGAAAACAGCCGATTCAATGAATGGTCTGAATCACATGGCAGATTATGTTCCCATCGAAAATACAAAACAGCCATATAATTCACAATTCCTAGTTTTGGCGCCGCGCAATGTATTTCAAATTTCACAACGTACTGTGCTCCATGCGAAGCGGTATATCTACACCACGCGGTCAACGGCGCTTCTTCGTAGGTACTTTTCGAACGTTTGTGGCGTTGACCTCACACAGCTGATTCCGCGATTTTAATACATATTTGTGTTTATTTTAGTTATTGTATTATATGTTACATTGCTGTTTTTTAGTATTTCATAGTATTTCACTATAAAATACTATTATTTCTTTATGTTATGACATCATATCATAGATTAAATGATTTTAAATGAAAAAAAAAATAGAAAAAGAATTTGAAAATTTCCGGAAAGAATTTCCATCGGTTTTCAGTTCAGAATAATAGTCTGAATTCATTCAGTTTTTGTCAACCCGTCTTTTACAACCTGTACATAAAGTTGACAGTCATGTTACCAACCTAATATTTAGGCACCAATGTCACTTCTATCGAGCCGAGATTCAAGACTTAGTATTTTTAGTCACTTAAAGTGTCAAATACCTTGAAGTCACTGGTGAGTCCGTCCATGCGTATCTCATCAGGGAAGTGCAGTAAGGCAGAGTTGGGCTGCGTCAGCTGCATGCTGCTCGCGAGAACGCGGTCTCGGCACTTCAGCAGGCACACCGCGTGGTGACCAGTTGCGCCGTCTGTAACAGACAAATAAACATGTAATAGTAAGTAAGTAAAACATGGCTATGTTTTGGTTTAAAGGGTAGGGCATGGTAGTGAAATTACAGAGTCGTAACCTATCTACTATCGTGTGGTTCCAGCTAGAATGGGCCACCACTTCCATGCACGTGAGTGTCGTAAGAGGCGACTAAGGGAACTTAATGATCAAGGGATAGACAGTAGCGTCCCTCTTAAAACATAACCAAAGCCTAATAACGGTTGTTTACCCGCCTGACAAGTGTGGGAACTACTTATAAAACGCCCACTTATGGAGGAGGCCTATGTTCAGCAGTGGGCAATTAACGGATGATACAATATACGGGGGTAAAGAGGTTTCTTCAGGGTCGGCAACGCGCGACCTAATTAATACCTCTGGTATTGCAGGTGTTCATAGGCTACGGTAACCACTTACCATCAGGTGGGCCGTATGCTTGTTTGCCACCTCAGTGGTATATAAAAAAATATGATACTTTGTCTATTATTGTGAGTTACGGTTTTATGTACCTACGCATAACACTGAAGTCTTCAATAATGGCAATGCTTGGCAGGTGCCATGAGTATCACAGTGTAGTCCTTGATGTCCATGGTGCTGTTCATGTTTATAGGCATCAGGTACCACATTCCATAAGGCGGCCTGTCAGCTTGCCATTCTAAATTCCATAAGTACTGACCAGCGTTGAGCTGCCGCATGTAGTCGCGGCGCAGGGGCACGGCGAGGCTGTTGATGTGCAGCGCGGCCATGCCGGCGGCGGCGGCCGGGCCCGCGCCCTCCACCTGCAGCCGCTGTACCTCGTGCACGCTCGCCTGCCGCCGGTGTGCTGCGGCGAAAGACATTGTTAATAATGACGTCCAAGATGACGCTCGAAACGAGAATATTCGGAGAAAAACCAAAGTAACCGACAGAGCCTGAAGTGGCAATTTCCTTTTAGTCCGTTATTAATGTCCAGAAGGACCCAACATAGGTACCTATATAGATAGAGTAGACAATTAAAGGCTGAAAATAAATTAGAGAACTATTATATACATATATCTGTAATAACTTACTTGCTAACAAAAGTAATCTCTCTCCTTCGGCTTGTTCAGTGGACCCACTGAATTCAATGGTCGCCGCACACAGATTTAACGCTTGACTGGCCTGTAACAATTAAATAAACATGTCATAACATGTAATCCGAAAAGAAGCTAATATTTTGACAATATTGATAACTACCTTCTCATAGGGGGAAAAGGGATTATTAGTAATGGAAACTGAGAAACCCATTGCTAGCAATATACCCAACCAGGTCGACCTCCTCGCGGTTCCCCCTGGAAACTATCATGGTTAATTCCTGATGAATTCATCATGATGGGCTAACTGGCCTGTTTTCATTCTCATCAATCACCCTTCACTGGTGCTCCGCCAGCGTATCCCGTTAGCACAGGCGGGGTTACCATACCATTTTCACCCATCAAAAAAAAACTACCTTTTCATAAAACCAAAAAGAAAAAAAAAACAAATTGTTTACACACTATTTCCCATGTGTTGAACATAAATATTTAGAATTATTGTAAATACTTCAAATACCTAATAAGAAAATACTCCACGCAACTACCTTTTACTTTGAATTATCACTATTGGGGGGGACCTGGTGTCTAAGATACAAGTTACAACTTAGTTTAGGCTCCAGATCTTCCACAAATTACGATACTTTCATTTTATATAAAGTAAATAACCTGTCCATACACTGTAATTTGTGGAGATGAATAAACTAATTATTATTATTGTAAACAAAAATTATACTAGCGACCCGCCCCGGCATCGCGTAAGTAATCTCTATTAATTATAAAATAAAATACAGACATGTGACTCGCTGATAACGTAGATTCCTATTAGTGAAATAATTTTTGAAATCGGTCAAGTAGTTTCTTAATAAACTAACATACAAAAAAATCTTTTTTTTTTTATACAACTTAGAATGGCAAACAAGCTGACGGCCCACCTGATGGGAAGTGGTAACCGTCGCCTATAGACATGAGCAGTACCATGGACATAACAGAGTATATTGTTTCGCCCATGATACCTCCATGCGTTGCCATTCCTGACTCAGGTGTTATTGCTCTGTACCCAGTAAATTCACGCCATATCCCACCCTTTAAACCGAAACACAATCATGCAAACGCAACTTTTTTCTTTATATGTAACATTAGTTCAGTATCTCCGTGTTTTTTTTTTGTTTTTTTTTTTTTATAAATCTATTGATATAATATGATAGTATTAAAAACGATTAGGTATTGTTTGAGTTTATTACTAGCGACCCGCCCCGACTTCGCACGGGTGCACATTACATCAGATCACATTAGAAACCTCTAAAATTATCAGTGTTCCTCTACAATATTATGCATGTATTAATACATATAAACCTTCCTCTTTAATCACTCTATCTATTAAAAAAAAACCCGCTTCAAAATCCGTTGCGTAGTTTTATAGGTTTAAGCATACATAGGGACGGACAGACAGCGACAGCGACTTTGTTTTATACTATGTAGTGATAAACAATAACTCAAGTCTTACCTGTTAATAATATTGGTTAAGACAATTGTTATTAATTACTTAATAACATTAATAGTGAATTTTTAAAGTACCACCTGTGATATAATAGTTTGCTGCTTGGTGATCTCGTTCTGCAATTCCTTGATGCGCTGGCGCACGGTTGTGACGTTGGCGGTCGGGTCCGGCGTCGCGGTGATGTCGCGCTCCGGCGACTGGTGCCGGATGATGCGCAGTGGCGTTGTCGGGGTCGACGTCTGGAAGGTGAGAACAAGATTCACTTTTTTTTTTTTACAACTTAGAATGGCAAAAAAAATTGACGGCCCACCTGATGGAAAGTGGTAACCGTCGCCTATAGACATGAGCAGTACCATGGACATAACAGAGTATACTGTTTCGCCCATGATACCCCCCATGCGTTGCCATTCCTGAGGACTCAGGTGTTCTTCCTCTGTACCCAGTAAATTCACGCCATATCCCACCCTTCAAACCGAAACACAGTCATGCAAACACAGCTGCTTCACGGTTGAAATACGAATGGGACAGAGGTACCCAAGCAATCGACTTTTGTACAAAGTCTCCCTCTGGTAAACTTACTGGAAATATAACTTTTAATCATATCAGCCTTAAACTGTCCACTGCTAAAAATAGGCCACTTACATAAGGGTAGTTTTACCAGTAGTTGCCACGTTTGGCAGGCGGGTTGGCAACCGCAGTTATATTTTGGTGATATTTTAAGAGGGACGCTGCTGTCCATCCCTTGATTATTAAGTTCCCTTACGGCACTCACGGGAAAGGAAGGTGTGGCCCATTCTATGCCAAGACTACAGGGTATCATACGGAAATATAACTCATAGGTATGTAATCATCATTCTAATATTATAAATGTGAAAGTTTGTATAGATGTTTGTTACTCAAAAACGTTTAAACGACCCAATAGGTTTGAATGAAATTTAATATATGGGTATTTAATATTATTTTTACGAAATAAAAAAAAAAAAACAAAAATTTTAAAACTCCTCTATTTTGCCTTTTTTACTATTTAATTGACGATATTACCTTAGATTAATTTCCTACAATTTGCAGTGCAAAAAATTTCAGTTTTTTTTAATTTGTATAAAAATATGGATAAGATGTTAACTTAAACATAGGAATTAAGAAAACTAAAACTAGATTCGGCAAAAATTGTGATAAAAAAGGTGATATTCCTGTGATAATAAAAAATAATTTCATTAAATGATAACGAATTAACAGCAGCAATAATTTTTACGGTCAATACTTACAGCACTTTGCATCCTCCTGTAGAAACTGACGCTGTGCACCAGCTCGCTGCCCTTGTCGCGGGAAGGGGTCGCGGGGGTCACGCACGCCGGCGGCTGGCATTTCAGCGGCGACTTGAACTGCGCCTTCTCCTGGTACACGAAACTTGTTGATGACAGGCTCCCATGCTGCAAATACGGGCTAGCTGTTCCTCGGCGACGTCAAGTGCGAGTAAGAGAGAGATAGATTTTCCTCTTTCACGCTCTCACTTTTGCAATATTATAACATCGAGGTTCAGCTATAAAGTTGTGGGTTTCTTAAATCGAGTCGAGGCACGTAGTCAGGCTCGTGCACGCGTCACAGTCACTCATAATTAAGGATCATGAATTGATTCCGAAACTAGTCGAACTCTATCTAATTACACGTACCTACTATCAAATAGTATATATTTCATGATAATGGGTCAGGAATAAATTTGAGGAAGATTATAAGATTATCTGGTATTGCGTCACGAATCGAATTATGAATAAATGGAGAAAACAAGAATACAAGGTGAAATCTAAATAATTCGTACTCAATTAAGCGACAGCTCTATTAATAAAACTGAACAATTTTCCTATTGAAACAGGGATTGGAGTTACCCATATTTACTAGACAGTTAGCTACGCCGTGTAAGGGTTGGAAAGCTGAACAATTTTTGTCGTGTAACTTATGTTTCTTTAGGATGAATGTTCGGTTTTATTAGTGAAACTTAGTGCTGGGTATTGTATCTATATATTTTAGTTAATATACAATATCTATATTGACCCAATAAAAAATATGTTAAATATCTATACAATATTTAAATTATAAAAATTAATAGAATTATCTGACCAGTACGGGAGATATCGAAATAGGTGATAAACCTTTTCCCGCCATCAATATCCGAAAGAACCCAATATATAGATATTGGAGCAGTACCAATATTACCCATGCCTAGTAGAACTTAAAAGGATGCTAATGATTTAGGTTTCACCGAAAATAGACCTCTATGGCACACGTCTGCTTGCGTCGTCAGAGTAGTAAATAATGTATTAAATTTTATAATTTTTTTTTGTTGTTACCTTGTTGAGCTTAGGTGGGGTGGGACCTTCCAGTTCTTCGTTCAGAGCTTCATCCAACATATCATTAAGTTCGCTGTCACAGTCACTTTGCGAACTGTCCGATTCGTTCGATCGAACTGCTTTTTTGTAACTAGTGTTATTTTTCTTTACCACCTGAAAATATTTATATTGTATGTTAAATTTTCATAAAGGCCCTTTCAACGACTGGTAATACTGTTTGAGGGATTATTAATAACGTGGACATTCTTTGTACTACAGACAGACTTAATAATCAATATACAATTAATCAATAATGTGCATTATACGATGCAACTAAGTACTTATTAGATTTTGACGGACAAAAAAGTGCTCCTTGAACTATCACGTTCGTTTCATGTAAGGAAAAATGTTCGTTTTCAGAAAAAAAAAGAAAAAAAAAAATTTGTAAAGTAAGTCGTTTAAACAAGAATAGGAAATAAACATTTTCTTATTTGAATATGCTACTTAGGAATAAAGTACAAGACTTGACATTATTGATATTGTAATTTCTAACTAATAAATTAATTGTTTGTATCTATAATAAGTTTACTATTGCAATCTTTTGACAGGAACAATAAAGAGTAACTATCTATATTTTTAATACAAACTATATTGTAAAATATAATGAATAAATTATAAACTCACATTCATAACCTCACGACCGAAGGATGTCTCTGCCCAATTGTCGGATTTATTTAAATTGTCGTTTAGATTTTCCATACTGAAAACACATGAAAGAGAATAAAATTTAAAATATGCAATAGAATAAAAGACTTTAAGTGTTATATTTAGTAGATTTTACGATATTCAAAATAAATTAAATGTATTACGTCTTATTAACTACATATTATTATTTTACTGTATTTTTTTTTCATCCTCCTAGATTTGTTGTTTGATTTTGGTGTAAAAAGGTAATATATTATAAATAACCATTATTAAATTATATGGGATCTCAGTATGTAGGCATTATTCAATGAATGCAACTCGGGTAACGGATAACAAAAGGATCATCACTAAAAGTATAGTCTTATATTATCTGTGGTAACAATGGGGTTAATTTTGAGGCACCATTACTTTAATCCTATCTCTAAACTTAAAATAAATTTGACGTGATAGCGAAAACTTAATTCTATGCACTAATGAGAACTAAATTTCTAATAAATTTAAGTTAAATTTATCGTAAATTTAGTTTGTTGATAAAATAGTAATTTTGCGAAACTACTCGAATCAAATAAAAATATTAGGTTGAAAGATAAGTTTAGAAAAGCGGCATCTTAGAATCGACATCAATATATACATACATACATATATGTCACGCCTGTCTCGCCTGTATTGAGACAGGCAGAAACAATACACCCCAAATGCTTCAATTCAAACAAGTCTCTTTCGCTTCATTCACATCCATCAATCTTCATACACGTTCGCCGTTTACGGGTACTTTTAATTTGGCCATTCTTCAGCATTTTGCCTATTTCGTCAACATAAATGAAATATAACCAAGCGCCTATCGTATAATATGAGCAAACAACCACTTTGAAAGCCACTGGAATTGTCATATAAAAGGAACGCATTCTAAATTTATACAATAACTTCGAAATTTAAATAATAAACAGTTTACAGCTGGGCATTGTTCTCTGTCCCAAAAAGGAGGATATGATTATGAGGAGGAGAGGCTATTATCACGTCGGCCAAGCAGGTTTGTCACCAGAGGTAGACTTTGTACAAAAGTCGATTGCTTGGGTACCTCTATCCTATTCGTGTTTCTAGCGTGAAGCAGTTGTGTTTGCATAGTTGTGTTTCGGTTTAAAGGGTGGGATATGGCGTGAATTTACAGGGTACAGAGGAATAAAATCTGAGTCCTCAGGACTGGCAACGCATGGGGGGAATCATGAGCGAAACAGTATACTCTGTTATGTCCATGGTACTGCTCATGTCTCTAGGCGACGGCTTGATTGTCATTCTAAGTTGTATAAAAAAAAAGTTGATATAGGCTATAATTTGAAGTCTTGCTACACTTATATATTGTACTTTGTTCACTTATCCATTTCTTATGACATCCTCGGGATGATAGGAAGTAATGACACATTATATTGTTACTCTGTTACCGCAGAGTTTGTTAATAAATTGTTTTATTTCCAAATCAACAAATTCGTCATCAGATTCTTGTTTTTGTTGGCATACCCGACAGTTCAACTTTTGACAAACAAGACCCGAGATAGTATTTTTAATTTCTATACAAATAAAAATAAAATGTCTGTAATGACCAAATTATGCATCAGCTTGTTTAAAAATTATATAAAAATTTCGGGAATTTGTGGGTTGAATAGGCTATTTTTTTTTAAATTCGTGATAGTTCGATTATGGTTTTTAGGGAAAGAAAAAATTAAATTTTAGACGCCTATCTTGTCAGCTAATTACAAAGTTATTTATGTGGTTTAAATATAATTAAAATACAGTGATTATCTATCATGCGACTATTTAGAGGCAATTGAGTTTTCCGTAATTTGGAGCAAATATGCTATAATTACTACACATGTTTGACATATATTGGCCATGGATTTTGTAGAATATTAATCAATACATAGCAGTGAATTGCAGTGAAATAAAAAATCGAAAAAAGAATGTTGCGTTGGATTGGTCGTTTGGAAAGGATGGATGAAAGAAGAATTACGAAAGAGATTTATCGAACAAGAATGAATGGAGATGTCGGTAGGGGCCGCCCTAGATGGACGTACGTTGACGACGTGCTGCAGAAGGGCCAAATTAAAAGTACCCGTAACCGGCGAGCGTGTATGAAAAGATTGATGAATGTGGAAGAAGCGAAGGAGGTTTGTTTGAATCGAAACATTTGGCGTTCCATTGTTTCTGCCTACCCTAATGGGAGACAGGCGTGACAGATATGTATGTATGTATGTATGAATTGCTATAGGGGTTAACGTGATTGCATCTAAATTGTTGATGTATATAGAGATCAGATTATAACTTTTGAGAATAACATTTTTAGTGTACCAAGAATCATGTGTTTCTTGTTGATACTTAAAATGGCAAATAAGCTGACGGTCCACCTGATGGATAGCGGTAACTGTCGCTTGTAGACAGGAAATGGGCCATAGGTACTGCAAGGCCCAAGGTATCCCTCATGCTATTTTTGAAAACCATGGTCTTCAAAAATAGCATGAGGGATACCTTGTCCTACAATTTCACTATCATATGATAGTGAAATTCACAAACTTCAAACTGAAACACAGCCATGAAAGCACAGCTGATTAACGGCAGAAACATAAAAGAGAAAATGGTATCCAAGCAGACGGTTTTTGTACAAAATCTTTCTCTGATCGTGTCCTTTGTGTTGATTGGGCTCGGTTTTATGATAAGTTACATCGAAACTACAATATTGGATTAATTCTGCAAGACAGTAACTTCTAAACTATTATATTGTTAATTCGTATGTGGTGACAGCATGGGCGTATTAAGTGCGGTTATTTAGGAGTGGTGGGGCACACTAATATTGTCTGGTGCTCTTCTAAAATAAGAAACGAAACTTTCAGCTATAGGCTATATATATAAAGACCAGACCTCAGACCCTCCCCCCACCCCCCCTCCATGGAAAATAATCTTAAATACGTCAATGGTAGTGACAGAGAACTCACTACTGCTTAGAAGGAAATTTTGAAATAAAACCATATATCTTAGGAAGTATGTCTCTCCCATAAGATCAAGCTTGGGCTACTTCATTTTCGCTCATGAGAAAAAAAAACTCTGCACAGCAGTGAAAGGGTTTAATAGGATGTCAAATAGGTATTTTATACATATGACTGATACGGCATTATCATTCTAATATAAGTATATTAGTAGTAGTAAGTAATTTAAGTGAATAGCAAAATTGGGGCCCGAGTAATTCATTAATGAATTATTATTGTAAACATCATAGGAACGCAAAGTACATACATATTATATATGTGTGTACATTGAACCGAGTTGTGAAATATACAATGACACTATGACTGTTACGACCCAACTGCACGTGGTTTATAGCGATTATGAGTATATTATACTCCTTACTAATATAAATATATATATTTATATTATTACATGTATCACATTATAATTGTTTATCGTGCCTCCAACGAAATTGTTTATAATTACTCCTCTCCATCCAAAAGTTGCTTGGAAGAGATCGCTTTTAACGATAAGGTCGCCCATTGTTTTCTCAATGTGATTATTTCTTGTAATTGTTTATATTTATAATAAGTTTATTATTGTAATCTTTTAGAAGAAACAATAAAGAATATCTATCTTCTATCTATCAATGTGAAAATAAGTTTATTTCTTTGTTACTTTATGGTTCCTTAAAGGATGCATCAATTAAAATGAATTTTGATATACACGTACTATATGGGATGGAAGAGGATATAGTCTACTTTTTATCGTGGGCAGTAAACATATCCTGAGGGCCTACCATGAAGTATTTTCCGAAATTTCAGGGACGAACGAAACAGAAATTTGATGTTAAAATTACATAATACAAGCTGTTTAAAATTATTAAAAATGTTCAAATATATCGTTCCTTTGAACTATTAGAATAGGATTTATGATGAACGAAATGTTAAGCTCCATTTACTGGCTCGATTTTGATACGAACAAAAACACGAAATTGAGCCCGAAGGTTCGGAATTTCATTTCATGGTAGACCACTTGGTCATGCGGATGGAATCGTGAACAAAATCTAGTAACTAATAAATATAAATGTATAGACAAAGAAGTGTGTAGATTATACTTAGTAATTGGATTTTGTTGTACCATACATAAAGAAGAATTGATTTATATTAAAAATGTGTCAATGAATTTGTTTCTCAATCATGCGTACAAATTGCTAAACTAGCAATAAATAAAAAAAAAGTATGATGTTCCTTCTATGACTTTCAACCTTAAAATCATTCCAAAACAATAAACATAATTGCATTCTTAAACCCCTCAAGAACATTAACACGAGAATTGGATAAACATCGTTAAAGGACAAAATTAATTTATTATTATATATATATGCAACGACACTATGTACTTATCATGTTCTTTCGAAATCTTAATAAGTAATTTCAAATAGTATTATTATTAAATTGCAAATCGACTTTACGTGCTGACCATACTTTCTTAGATTTTCGTGGAATTTATTTATTTATTTGCACTTATTTTATTTAAATAATTATAATGTTTTGTTTTGAAATACATACTGAGTTGCAATTGATATAATTTCACCAAAATCCCACAACAAAATCGAGGAGAATGAAAAAAAAAAATTAATGCAAAAAATCTTTATTGATACAAAATTATAGGAAAAAACATATCTATTTTATCACAGACCATAAAACTTAAACATACTAAGAAGCTGAAAAGGTAAATTATATTATTATTTGTTTAGAATAAGTTAAAAAATTTATCATAATCCTCTATGACATAATTGTTTATAAATAATTGCTATATGACAAAATTATTATTGATACATATTTAATTTTTCAAGTGCAGTCAATATATTAAGAAAAAATAAATTACTGTAATTAATATTTTAAACACAAAGGCGCTAATGAAATAATATTTTTCGATATGTATTTATTATATAGCATACAACACGGAAACAGCTCTTCACAAGTTTTCCCTCTACCAATATACAAAAAGATTGTAGTAAGAATATGTCGTTTATGATGTCACAGCAATAAAAATATA